TTATGGGGTAAGTAAATAAATAAATAATAATATGTTGATAAATATAACTTAATAAGTAATTAATATGTATCCTTTAGAACTTTTATGATTGGCATAATAGTGCAAGAAGAGGGGAAAGGTGGTCGTATAATGGGTATGATTTTATAATCTATTCTGAACTAGGTTTTGGGATAGGCCAGATAATTATTATATTTAATTGATGGTTCTTAATAAAAATTTTTAGGAATTTTTAGATTTATATTAAGTATCTTTTACATTTTTTAGTTACGAGGCATCATTGAAGGAGAGCCTATAATATGCTGATGGCGAATCAAGTAAACTAGTAGTTGGGAATGAGAGGAGTAAGGGGTTTAATTTTTTTTGTTTTTTTTTAATTTGTTTATTTTTTATTGAGGTTTTAATTTTTTTTTCATTTTTATCATAGGGGTTTTATTTTTTTTTTAATTTCTTTTTTTTTACCAGAGTGGGGTTTTTATTTTGTGGTGTTTTATTTTTTTATTGTTTTTTTTTTATTATTTTTTTTTAATTTTTTATTTTTTTTTTATTTTTTTTCATATAAATAAATAATATTAATTAATTGTATTTTGAATCATCATTAATAAATTTTCTTACTTTTTTCTTTTGTTTAATGAAAAGGTCTCAAAACTTTTAAAAATAAATTTATATTTATCATTATAAATAGATTAATTCCAATTTTTGCATTACCAAAATTACTTCAAGATCACTTTAACTTTAACCACAGAAAGTTTATTCTATAAATGATATCATAAAATTAACTTTAATTATATCATAGTAAAATTATGTTTGTATTTTCCTTTTTCAGTAATCATTTATTATACTGAATAATTCGTTGTACTATACTGAATAATTCATTATAGTAATAACAAATTTTCTTATAACAAAGGACTGATTAGCCTAGACGCTAATTTTGTTATATTGAGGTATACCTGTATTAAGTATAGCAGTTAAGAGATCACTATTGATATTAGGATGAGACAAAACTTTGTTTTTTCCTTTTGAGGTGGCATCATCAGAATTATTGGGAGTAGAGTGTGAAGATGAAGAGTATTGATCAACATGCATTTTACTACTTGATCTGTTAGAGATCGAGTTACGTCTGTTGTTTTTCTTGTTTAAATTAAAGAGTGACCTGAGGTGTTTTGTTGAGTGAGGTTGTAAGATCTATTAAGGATTTAAGGTCAGCCATCCAATTTATACCTATTGTGTAAAATTCTAGCTGAACAAGCTTGATGTATATCAGATTCATTTGAGAATGCAAAGTAAGCAATATTATTATGAAAGTAACAAGAGTGAGCTTCATGAAATCTCATTGATCTGAATGCTTCTGCAGGTGTAGTATTATTTGGGAATCTCTTGAAACTAGCGACAAAACTATTTCTTGCTTTGAGATCGTCAATAGAAGTATCAATGTATGCATATCTTAAACTAAACTGTTAATATTATGGACCCAAGCGAGGTTTAATTGATAGGGTTTGTGAGTCTTTTAAAGGTAATAATTACATCACGTGAAGAATCATAACGGTTTCTAAAGTTATTTTTCAATGTTTCTATAGGTCCATAATAAAATAAGGCTCTCTTTATAAGTTAGTGCAAAATTGTAGTGGGAACCATTTTTAATCTATATATCAGCAATATAGGGTTGGCAGGGAGAAAGGATTCATGATTTAAAATGTTAAATGGTATGTTAGAATGTGTTAATAGAACTTCATCAATTGCAGAAAGAAGAAGTTTTTTATTGTTGAATTTAATGAAAATGTTGGCATTACCATTGTAAAATTTCAAATCAATGTCAATAAATCCAGGTTTATTTGAAAAACAAGTATTGATCAAACTTAATTGATCAAATATATTATCACCGGGAAGAATATTGGCAAGAACTGTTATGATTATATGACCATTATTATTGAAGGAAGAAGTATGAAAAGTGTGATTGATTGTGTGATATGTATTGTCTTTATCAAGAATGTTTAGTATTGTTGATATTATGCATATTCGCGTTTGTGTTGGTGTTTGGTAAATTAGGAGGCAGATTTTTATTATCACATGATAAATTATTATTTGACGCATTTTTATTTTATTTACATGATTGTTTACGTGTTTGACACATAGATGGATCAGAAATAATCAAATCATTAGTTAGTGAGTTAATAGTATTGTTTGTTGGGACAGGGAGGGGTTAGGAAATTCTTTATGTGTATTGTAAAAAGAAGGATCCATATTATCTTCTTCGAGTATATCCATAACAGGAGAGGTAATATTAGTGATCGAAATAATATCATCATTCTCTAAAATGTTGTTTAACGTGTTATTGATGATATTTTTAGTAACTTCAGTAGCAAAATTGTTTGTGCTAATTTCATGTATTGCTAATGTACTAATATGTGCTATCTGTTTAATAAAGTTTTTTAAGAGTTCTATTTTTTTTGGAAAAGTTTATCGTACTCAAAGTTGAATTTTCTAACAAGCCAAAAGATTTCTAGAGTTTGAAAACCTAAAAATTTTGCTATTGCCACGTCTCTTTCAGTGAGGTGTGGGGTAATATTAGCGATAAGTTGTAAGAAAGTTTTTATATCTTTAGCGAAAATATCACTATAAAATTCTAAAGTATTAGAGGATATTGTTTTAGAACTTATAAAAATTGTTTTAATATTATTTGTGTTTAGTTTGTATAATGAAAAAAATTTTTTTAAAGTTTTTTAGTATTTTTGAAAAATTGGTCTGAAAATTTTAGGAAAGAGTTCTGAAAAATCAAATAATAGTTGATTCATATGAATCAGAGCGATATTGACCAAGATTGTACATCTTTTGTTTTTTTTTGTTTTTTCTACATATAAAAAATCATATGATAAAATGTCATTTTGACTATTCTAACTTTCACCCCCAATAGTTAATAGTTGAAATGATTTTGATCATTTTGACCATTTCAGATATCCAAAATAATCTATTTCGACTTCATGTATAGATGAAACAGTTGAATTTATTTATGATCTGAATAGCAGAGCTAAAGCTATGTGAATAGGATATAATCTTTTGAAGCAGGACAAACATATAGCATTTGTATCTACTGGAGCAGTAATAGCTAGAGCGCTAGTAGAAAAGGCATTTAAGTTGTCTAAACCTGACAATTCTCCTATTAAAGTCTGTGTATATTATGGAATGTGAATAGGAAGCAGAAACAAAAAGACTTCTCTAATATTGATATCACTTGGTATGAGCTTGACTGTATAGCCTATATAAGCACAGTGGAGGTGGGAATATCATTTGAGATTACAAGCCACTTTGATATAGTTATAGCTATTACAAACATCGCCACTCCAGTTCATATTGAGGCTCTTACACAAATGCTTTACAGAATTTGTGACTGTCTCCATCATATTATTTCCATATTCTATCAGAAAAATTTTAATAAACTTTTTTGTCTACCAGGCTGTGAAAATATTCAAGCAGAACTTGAAAGTGCTCGATCTAATAATTTGCTTACAGCAATAAAGGGCCATCATGAATTGGATAATAATATCATTACTTATAAAATCAATGAATCTCTAGCTATAATAACATTCATTGAAGTTGAGTATCAGAAACATCTTTCTATAAGATATTTTATTGAGAAGCTTTGTAGTCTTATAGCCAGTACTAGTGCTTCTTTTTAACTAATAAAAATAGATGAGAGTTGAGAAGTTATAGGAAACCGTAAAAGAATCTGTAATGAGATTAGAGTTGAAGTATTAGTTATTAAAGAAACAAATTTTAATGCAGTTGGTACTTTCCAAAACCTTAGCCCTAAAGAAGCTGGAATTCTTAAGTTTGATCAGAAGTATTCTATAGCAGATACTAGGGTTCCTCAAAATTGAATCAAATCAAATCAAATCAAACTCAAATATTTGATCGAATCAATTTGAATCAATTTGAATTTGATTGAATTGAATCAAATTGAATCAAATATTTGTCAAAT